TTTTTTATTATTATTATTATTATTATTATTATTATTATTATTATTATTATTAATTATTATTATTATTATTAATTATTATTATTATTATTATTGTTATTATTTATTATTATTATTATTATTATTATTATTATTATTATTATTATTATTATTATTAATTATTATTATTATTAATTATTATTATTATTATTATTGTTATTATTTATTATTATTATTATTATTATTATTATTATTATTATTATTATTATTATAATAATAATAATAATAATAATAATACTTTTGCCCCCAAGGTCCTTGCCAGTGGGGCTAAGCCAAAAAAAAATCACCAGCAATGCTCATGATGCTCTTAGGGTGCATCTTCACTTGAGCATTTTAGCCCGAATGTACCAAACGAGCAGAATGCGCCGAGCAGAATTCGGCGAGTAAGGACGTGTCGAGCCAAACTGAGCACACCAAATGTTTTCTGTTTGTCAGTAGATGGTGTGTGCTCAAAAGGATTCAATTGCTCGTTGTTGCACAGTCAGAATGGGTGTTCACGCTGTTCCAGCTAATCGGTGTGTTATGGAGTGGGACAGGGAGAAATGTTTAACCTTACTGAATGAATGTGCGAAGCATCCTGAGCTGTGGAATCCCCAACATGCCTTGTACTACAAAAAGTTGGGAAGTATGATTGCTGGCTCTTTGGAATGTCGTATCCTTCTTTATAATTCTTGGTCCTACAAGGCTACTTAATGTTTCAAACTCCTCTGGTATCATTCGAGCAAAGTTTTTCAATTGGCCATGATCCATTTCACTCAACAGGGACATATTTTTCCATCCAGAAATTAGTTGCTTTAACCACACTTTCCTAAACTACTTCTTCCTTCTGGCTAAGGAGTAAATAATGAAGAATGCACCTGCTGCCACCGTGAGAGCCATGGTTCAACTGAGGAAAATGGTGGGAATAAGACGAGCACCGTCGAACATGCAGAATACAGAGAGCTTGCACTCAAAATTTGCTCGTTCGGTTCGTTCGTGCGTTGTCTGCTCGTTTGGTTCATTCTGGCTAAAGTGCTCAAGTGAAGACGCACCCTTAGAAAAACTTGTTCTATTTTCTTAAGTATATATTGTAAGGTAATATCCAGTTGTCCAGAGTACCGTCAAACATTCACACTTTGCCATGTCTGGCAAAAGGAAAATCTTTGCATTGCTATTAAGCTCAGAAATTGAGGACCACAGAAAAGCCTTAGCCTTATGAGTATTTAAAAAAAAATGAAGCAATCAAAAGTCAACCAAGGCAGCAGGGTCTACCATTAGACAACACATTATGCTTCCAATATCTTCCCAGGCGGTAGTACCTCCCTGTTTGGTAACTGCCTACTACCTACTATCTCATGTCCCGGGTGGAGTGAAACAGTTGGCAAATGGCACCACTGGATTACAGTCATTCCTTGGTTATCACGCCTAATTAGGACTGCGTTGAGTGCGTGATAACGAAAAATGCGATAACGAAAATACAGAACCTACCAGTATGCGATTTATTCTAATTGGTTCCAGGCACCCAAGACCCAACCCCAATTTTCCCATTTTATGACCATTTATACCCACTAAAGATATAGATAATGTTATGGTAAGTATCAGAAACACACATAGGCATGGCTAGGTTTATTACAAAGTGATAAAAAGGGTACGCTCAATACTGTAGTCCACAAAACATGTAGCTATGCTTTCTTTATTTGAGTCCCCTGTCTGAGGAGTCCGTTTTCTCATCACTTCAGGACGCCTGAGTCCTCCGTTTTCTCTCAATCTTAGAGTGCACCCGAGACTTCGTTTTTCCTTAGTAATGACACAGAATTTGAAATTACATCTGGGGTTGCAATTGTTGAGGACTTAGATATGTCTGATTACAGCAAATGTGTTATTGTCAATTTGTAGGCAAAAGATTTTATCCTCAATAGATGTAGGTGAAGCAAGGGGGTAACATTACACCTGGAGGCAACTGCGTGATAACTAAATTCTCGGCCTGAAAAATGCGCTATAACAGCAGGTGTGCAGATTTTGATGGAGGCGTGATAACAAAAATCGCGATAACCAAGTGCGCTATAACCAAGGGATGACTGTACAGTAATTTCTTTTCTTTTATTTATAATTATTTTCTTTTTATTTCTCACATTTACTGGTACAGTATACACGCAACACAGTTCAGCCGGGCAGTTACTAAGCTGACTCGTGAGTCATGTGTGGCTGCTGCCTGTATGCTGTGACGTCACATAGGGGGGAGGGAGAGTGCAGCTGATTGTACATAAATTCATTTCCCACACATACACACTAATGCTCTTCATTATTCATATTTTCTTAGTTTTATATTATCTTTTTTTTATATTTCTAAGCTACATTAGAGTATAGTACAGTATTGTAATAATGTGCGCTTGGAGCACAGAATCCCCAGTTTTTCTTAATTCACTCCCAAAGTTTTCCCAGTGAACCGAACATCGCTAAACCCAAAATTGACCACCGTTAAACAAGATAGGGTGTTAAAAATTTTATATCACTAAACCGAAATATTGCTTAGTTGTTAGACGAGGAATACATGTATTGCTAATTATGAAATATAATGTAAATATGAAATAATTAGTTTAGTATGTAGAAATAATGAATTGGTTATGAAAAAAGTAAGGTAATCAACAAATAAAACTGAACTTGAAGTTGTGGTGATGCGCAAATACAATGAGACTGATGGTGGATGCAAATTACTTGACCTTGACTACTTATCCAACAGGTCCACAACATTTCCCCTAAACATCCAGATCAGATGCACTTCACCTCCAGTAAGTATCAACATTATATCCACTACAGATCCACTACACACCCTCACAGTCATTGAGGTTTATATAATAATCATAGATTTTATGATTTCGAATGCAGTAGGGGGAAAGAAAGTTGCTCCAATATCTTTTTTGTAAATTCGATTACTACTTAACCATACATGGTATAAGTAAGCCCAAAACACCAATCTCTTAAAAAAAGTTCGCTACATATCACAATACAATTTGGAAAAACAAAAAAGGTTTGTGCTTTTTGCGGTTTATTTTTTTAAAGTTTTCATAATTTACAGCATACTTTACGTACTAGTCGTAGCAAAAATCTGATTGTACCATTGGAAACCTTTTAAATTTCTACTTTTTTTTTTTTTTTAGGGATTAGCCCACCCGGCACAGGTCACTCACCCACGGCCCAGGGGCAAAGGTAATACATGTACAGTGACCCTCGGTTAACGAACTCAATCCGTTCCAGAAGGTCGTTCGTTAACCGAAAAGTTCGTTAACCGAAACCATTGTTTCAATGGGTTTTTGGGTATTGGTTCCAGCTCACCGAAAATTGCCTAAATTCAACAAAAATGGTAGAAAAGTTCACTTACCCTGAGGTGTGTATGTAGAAGGCTCCTGGATGATGATGATGATGGGAATTAGAATGGGGGTGGAGGAGAAGGAAGAAGAGAAGGCATTGGGGTGGAAGAGAAGTCACCCCATGGCACCATTTCACCCATAAAATTTTAGTTCTCTTGGTGTATTTCAAGATTATTTTCTTTAAATCAACACTGCACTGCGCTATATATTGTCAATATGTAAAATAAATTTCAAAATGACCAATAATTTGCTTGGAAACACACAAAAAAAGCGTTTAGTTGAAGAGAGTCTCAAGCAAGATGTTACCTCCAGTGAAAACAGAGAGAGACTAACGCCTGTTTGCTGTGTTAATAGGCTGGATGCCGCGCATTAAACTAGTCACTTTACCTTCAGTTATGTTCAATAATTGTTAAAATGGCTAAAAAATTGAATATTAAACTTTTAAAATTATTGAATAGTATAAACTTTTTGATATTTACTAAAATAGTAAGGAATTTAAGCCCTAGAACCGATTAATGTATTGGCGGACTGATACTAAAGCTGGTTGCCCGGCCAGTGCAAGCGAAAACATGTTGAGGTCGGTTCGTAAGAAATTCGTTAACCGAATTGAAGGTCCTTATGGAAGGCAGTTCGTTAACCGAAATTTCGTTAACCGAGGCATTCGTTAAACAAGGGGTCTCTGTAATAATAATAATTCATATTAAATAAAATTTCTAATAAAAAGTAAAATAAAATATTAATGGTAATAATAATAATAACAACACTGTGATAATAATAATAATAAATACAAAGAAATACAAGAATGAATAAAATCAATAGTGAGAAATGCTATTTGTATGTTGTGTTGTCATGTAAGAGAAACAATTGAGACCCTACAATTGTGTGTAAATGAGGCAGAAAGACAGATCAGCAACCTGGGACTTGGTCACAATTTTCTTAGTGGTATATAGCACACAGATTTGGCCTGGGAAAACTTTTGAGCTAGTAAGTGAAGAGGAAATTTTTTATTTTTGTTTTGCATTAGGAGTAAAAAATGAGTGTTATATACATAGTATATATATATATATCTTGATAAAATCACACGGGAAAAGGGAAACAACGGAGCACCTTAGCTTTCGTCTTTATTCAAGACATCTTCAGAGGCAACTCCGTTGTTTCCCTTTTCCCGTGTGATTTTATCAAGATTTATCTTATCCACATTTTCATTGTGGATCTACATGAAATATATATATATATATATATATATATATATATATATATATATATATATATATATATATATATATATATATATATATATATATATATATATATATATATATATATATATTATTATTATTATTATTATTTCTGTATTATACTGTATTATAATATACAGGTAGTACAGTACACTATTCAGATATTTGAGGAAGGGTTTGGTATACAGGTACAGTACTGTACTGTATAGCGAATTCATTCGGTATAGAGATGTAATACTGGAATCTGAGGAGCAGTTTGGTATATAGCGAATTTCTGTATAAAGAAGTTCGTTATAGAGAGGTAGTACTGTATAAGAAATTCTTGCTTGGTTTACATATTTAAGATTCTACCTCTGACTAAATGATTTCCCCCTTTCAGAAATTTCAGACTGTTGAGGAAGCACACCTGGCACAAATGCTACAATTTGTACAGACCTACATAAGTGTGCTGCAGAGTAACCATGAAGCCATGGGACAGATTCATCGTGATCTCCTTAATCAGTATTCTCAATTCTCTGTGGAAAAACTTCTTGACCAGTTTGCACTCTCCAAACACACTGGCCTGGAGAAGCCAAGTAGGTTGATTACTTATTATATGTTAAAGGAATGGAATGATAAGGCAAAAGATTAAATATGATATATCTTATCTCTGTGGTTATTCATAAAAAAAGCCATTTTTTTCTAAAAACCCAGTTTTTGTGATAAAGTCCAGAATGCAGCATCTAGCTTTATACCTACATATGTAAATGCCTAGCATTAACTCGCCAGACCAACATACAGGCAATTAATACATTAAATAATTACTTAAATACGTAATATTAGGAGGACACGTCGCTACCTGGCATTTAATTGCAATTCTCAAAACCCCCTCCTGCACCCTCCATCACTCGCATTGCTACCGTCATCTCTTGCCCTAGAGCGAGCAGTATACAAATGTCAACTCTCGAGGGGTGGAAATGGGTGGGATGTCCACGTCGCATTCTGGACTTTATCAGAAAAACTTTTTTTTTTTAGAAAAAAACAGGTTTTTGTTCAATCCATAATGCTGTGTCTAGCTTTGATTACCTGAGCAGGAGGTGTAGAGGGAGGTGACATTGCGTATAAGGTTCCGCTAGCTAAGGTCCAGATTATAATTATAAACTTTTTGGAATATTTTCCAATATAGCTACTCCTCGACTTACGACCTACTCGACATATGACCACCCGTACATACAAGAGCCACAGTCGTACCAAAATTTTTTCAAATTACGTATTTTCGAGACCCAACATTAGTGATTGCGCTGTGTACTGACAAAATTTTCGTTTGTAATTCCCCTTAAAATGGCTGGCAAGTTTAAAAGTGAGTTTTGTGGTGCTGAGAAAAAAAGAGACACCCATTTTGAATATAAACATCATTGATTTTGCATTAGACATACAAATTTTAGATCTAATGTAAGTATTTTGTTTACTCAGAGTAAATATGTTATCTTTTGTGCAAAATATATGACATGTATATTCAAAATATTCCTGGTCTTGCAAGGAATCCAGCAATGTCAATTTTATTATCTTAACTTTAGTTTGAGGTATTATTTATTACTATACCTTGAAATCTAGTGTTTTCCCCCAAACATTTCTCAGAGAGGGAAGACCCAGCGAGTGTGAAAAGAGGGGGGGGGAGTTGAGTCCATTATTTGAATGGACATTAACTTGGCAACTGTATTTCTCTATTTCAATTAAATATTAATTGTGTGTGCCTACCATCATAAAATAAAGATGTTATTTTTACTAGAACATAGGTATTGTGTCGGGAAAAAGTGGAGTTTGGGGGTCGGCCCGGTCTCTATTTCAATTAATCCCATATGTTATGTTGTTCACTTTACGCGTTTCTCGCTTTACGCAGGCCTCCGTGGGTTCAATTGACCGCGTAAAGTGACGGTTCACTGTGTGTGTGGGTGGGTGGGGTGCGTGGGTGTAATCCAGAAATGTCAATTATATTATCCTAACTTTAGTCTGAGTTATTATTTATTACTAAAAATGTAAAGATACTGTTTTCTTCCAAACATTTCTCTGGTAGGGAGGGAAGGTGGGGGGGAGGGAGGGAGGGATCGACCCAGCTAGGGCAGAGGTGGGGTATTTTGATTGACAGATAGTGTCCTTGAAGAATATTATTTTTTTTATTAACTGAAGATATTTGTTTTAGCTCATAAAATTCATACAAATTACCCGGCCAGAATATAATTTACATTGCTGGAATTCTTACAATATGATGATCGTTTTGAATATAAACATCATGGATTTTGCATTAGACATACAAATTTTAGATCTAATGTAATAATTTGGTTTACACAAAGCAAATATTTTATCGTTTGTTCAAAATATATGAAGTTTACATTCAAAATATTCCCTGACCTGCGAGGAGTCCAGAAATATCAATTATATTATCCTAACTTTAGACTGAGTTATTATTTATTACTAAAAATGTAAAGATACTGTTTTCTCCCAAACATTTCTCTAGTAGAAGGGAAGGTGAGGGATGGGGGGTAGGGAGGGAGGGACCGACCCAGCTAGGGCAGAGGTGGGGTATTTTGATTGACAGATAGTGTCCTTGAAGAATATTTTTTTTTTATTAACTGAAGATATTTGTTTTAGCTCATAAAATTCATACAAATTACCCAGCCAGAATATAATTTACATTGCTGGAATTCTTACAATTTGGTGATCATTTTGAATATAAACATCATAGATTTTGCATTAGACATACAAATTTTAGATAAGTATAATGTTTACTCTGAGTAAATATGTTATCTTTTGTGCAAAATATATCACATTTATATTCAAAATATTCCTGGTCTTACAAGGAATCCAGTAATGTCAATTGTATTATCCTAACTTTAGTTTGAGGTATTATTTATTAAAATTTAGTGGTTTTCCCCCCAAAATTTCTCAGAGAGGGAAGAGCCAGCAGTGTAGTGTGAGAAGAAGGGGAGGGAGTTGAGTCCATTATTTGAATGGACATTAACTTGGCGACTGTATTTCTCTATTTCTCTTAAGTATTAATTGTGTGCATGTACCATCATAAAATTAAGATGTTATTTTTACTAGAACATAGGTATTGTGTCGGAAAAAGTGGAGTTTTGGGGTCGGGCCAATTTCTGTTGGAATTAATCCCATATGTTCTGTTGTTCACTTAGCGCGGTTTTCACTTAACACGGTACCCTGTGGGTTTTATTGACCGCGTTAAGCGGGGTACTATTGTATATTAATAAAATTAATAATAATAATAATAATAATAATAATAATAATAATAATAATAATAACAATAATAATACTGTAATAATAAAATAATAATAATAAATAAATACAAGAATGAAAAAAAAGATCAAAAGTGAGAAACACGACCTAGACCTATGAATTGTTATTATTATTATTATTATTATTATTATTATTATTATTATTATTATTATTATTATTATTATTATTATAATTTTTATTATATTTTCGATCCCCAGGCCCCAATGTGGGTCAGTGATCTATGCCCGGGTGGGCTAATACACATTAAAAAAAAAACCCTAACCATTCTGAAAACCGAAAAATTCAGAAAACCGAAATGCCTCTGGCCCCAAGGATTTCTGATAAAGGATTGTCAACCTGTATTATATATATATATATATATATATATATATATATATATATATATATATATATATATATATATATATATATATATATATATATATATATATATATATATATATACAGTAGTACCCCGATTTACGCGGTCAATTGAACCCACAGGGTACCGCGGAAAGTGAAAACCGCGTAAAGTGAACAACAGAACATATGGGATTAATTCCAATAGAGACTGGCCCGACCCCCAAACTCCACTTTTTCCGACACAATACCTATGTTGTAGTAAAAATAACATCTAAATTTTATGATGGTATGCTCACACAATTAATATTTAAGAGAAATACAGTCGCCAGGTTAATGTCCATTCAAATAATGGACTCAAATCCCCCCCCCCCTCTTCCCAGCTCACTAGCTCCTACCTCTCTGAGAAATGTTTGGGTGAAAACACTAGATTTTAACGTTTAGTAATAAATAATACCTCAGACTAAAGTTAGGATAATATAATTGACATTTCTGGATTCCTTGCAGGTCAGGGAATATTTTGAATGTAAACTTCATATATTTTGCACAAAAGATAAAATATTTGCTTTGTGTAAACCAAATTATTACATTAGAACTAAAATTTGTATGTCTAATGCAAAATCCATGATGTTTATATTCAAAATGATCATCATATTGTAAGAATTCCAGCAATGTAAATTATATTCTGGCCGAGTAATTTGTATGAATTTTATGAGCTAAAACAAATATCTTCAGGTAATAATAAAAAAAAAATATTCTTCACGACACTATCTGTCAATCAAAGTACCCCACCTTGCCTCCCCCCCCTCCTCACACTCACGCCAGCTGGGTCGGTCGGTCCCAACCCTCCCCCCCACTCCCCACCTTCCCTCCCTACCAGAGAAATGTTTGGGTGAAAAAACTAGATTTTAACTTTTGCTAATAAATAATACCTCAGACTAAAGTTAGGATAATATAATTGACATTTCTAGATTCCTTGCAGCTGGTGAGCAGGCAAAAACATGTTGGGAAAAATTCGTAAGGAATTCGTTAACCGAAGTGTAGAATCTTATGGAAGGTAATTCATTAACCGAAATTTCGTTTGCCGAGGCATCACTGTATGCATATATATATATATATATATATATATATATATATATATATATATATATATATATATATATATATATATATATATATATATATATATATATATATATATATATATATATATATATATATATATATATATATATATATATATATATATATATATATATATATATATATATATATATACAGTGGCCCCTCGGTTAACGAACTCAATCCGTTCCAGAAGGTCGTTCGTTAACCGAAACGTTCGTTAACCGAAACCATTGTTTCAATGGGTTTTTGGGTAATTGGTTCCAGCTCACCGAAAATTTCCTAACTTCAACAAAAATGGCGGAAAAATTTACTTACTTTGAGGTGTGTATGTAGAAGGCTCCTGGATGATGGTGATGATGTGCATTTGAAGTGGGAGGTGCAGGAGGAGAAGGGAGAAGAGAAGGAAGTGGAGGTGGAGGAGAAGCATTTTACTGCTTCTTGGAAGGTGAGTCACCTTCCATGAAAATGTCAGGAACCTCTGGACTGACAGATTCTCCACCATGAACATCCTCTCTCCTTCTTGAAGTGGAAGGCTGAGGGCTAGCATCTTGTTCCCTCTGCCTTTTACTGAAGAAAGTGTCAATTGTGGTCTGTGGGGCATCTGTCCTCCTCACCATTAACTTATGTTTAAAGAAGGAGACCACTGAGTCCTCAACATGACACAAAGCTAGTTCAGTTTTTTCCACTTCTGGGTGCTTTGAAGCCAGTTCCCTGAACTTCTCCCAGTGGTAAATCACATCTTTCAACTGTGTAGCTGACATATGGTCATCACTTTCAATTTCCTCCTCACCACTGTCAGCCTCTACCCGTAACATCTCAT